CCACACAATAATGACTGCACTGGACTGGAACTCTGTGACACACAGTTTATGCAGCACACCAGTCCTGAGAGTCTTAGTGTAACCCAGGTAGCTATCAGCATTTAAGGGTACTCACATTGCCTCCACTTTCCCACCCCTGTACTTCTGTGGGAACAAGGAATTTGGTGATAAACATGTGATTCAGTATCCTTATTCTTTACCCACAAGCATCAATGAGTAAACACCATATCTGAAGCCTGTTTTAGCCTGAACATCATGGAGAATTTCAAGTAGAAGTAGCATTATCCACATACAAATGTGAAAAAATGATTTTATGTTAGAGAACTGAGAACAACTTCTGTAACTGTTAAAATGATAAGAGATGCAGAATTATGCAGGCTTTATCTTGTAGAAGGTCTTTTATCCCAAGCTATTGAGTTTGACTTCATAGTGTTACTATAAAGTGCTAATGCCCATGAGAAATTATAGGTGCTCTGTGAAATATAGAAGAATTTCATAATTTGAGAATTGCAAACTATTATACAGTTAACTGGTGGCAAGCCTATGCCACGTGTGTTGCAGCGGGCACACAGAGACTTCTCTGTTAGCACTTGAGCTAAGTTACCCCAGCTGCTGAGCAATAGATAACAACTGTTTTTTATAGGAGCCCTTCCTGGTCCTCATTGTAGTCTGAGAAGTTTGTATTTGTAATTATTATTGGAATTGTTATTGGAATTCTAGTGAGTTAATTCCAATCTACCACTTCCAGTGCAACCCATGGTGAGAATAAAGACAGTAAGTCATATTTGCAATTGTGGGGAGCCAACGGAGTCCTAAATTCAGCTAGGATGATGGCTAACCAGAACAAAGGCATTATCCCAGGGCTGAAATCGGGTTTTATTAATTCATGAAGAGGGGGGTGGCTCAGGGATGAGTGACTGGGATAATGGCAGGAAGTATGTGAGTGCTATGAGCTGGGCTAAGTAGGTGGTCTGAAATCACCTCTGCAATATGCAGAGAGGGGGATATGCAGAAGGAGTAACCTGCATAACACCATTCAGGGTAGTAGCTCATGTTTTGGAGTCGGTACTTCAGCTCTGATGTGTAATCTTTTATGCCCTGGGAAGTCATAGCCTCTTATCTCAATACTTGATCCAAGCTGACAGCATGGAGAATGGCTCTCCACCCCACCCGGCTCACACATGGTTTTTGGGAACTAGGGGGCAGGGTAACACGGACCTATCACCTTGCTTCAACGACTACATGTTGGCCCCTCAGCTGGACCAATTTGCATTGCTTAAAGCCAATTGAAAGGATAAGGAAAAGTCCTAGCTGACTCTGTACATATCAATACATGAAAATAGGGCCAGGTTTAGCCAAAATGTAGATAACTGCTCTTCTTTCAAGGAGAGTTATCCAGATAGTTGTCCATAGTGTTTTTCTAAACTAAAACCTCAGTGTTCAGGTTTAATTGCAGTGTTGGCATTTTGTATTAAGTGAGTTTGGGTTGCAGGGTGGGCACTCGGTCTCTAAAACATTTGCAATCAATGCAGTTAACTCATCCAAAGAGATTCACAAAGTATTAAGAAAACTATTATAAACAGAATACATAAATGAAACAAGCTTTTACATTTTGTCTCACAAATATTTGAAATTGACAACTCTCCCTCATGGAACAGAATTAACATCTTTGAGAACACATTTTGCCAATCTTTTTAAACGTACAAATACAGTCCAAAGCATGTCACAGAAAAGTGTGTGTGGCTGTGTGGTGAATGGATTGAAGGAGGGGCAAGAAAGGCTGGTGATTTGGGGAAAAGATGAGGGATGCTGGAGTTAATGAAGCAAAATAGGCTGGGGACAAGTTGGTATATTTGAGAGCTCTTTATAAAGCATGTATGTTAAGATTTAATAATCAACTGGAGGTCCGGTGCTTCAAAATGAAGAGACTTTCCTATGAGTTTGGTTTGAGTCTACAAACATGATACTTAAATATAAATACTTAACATGTTTCCCAGGCCTTTCTAAAGCTACTTCCTGCCCTTGTGTGATGTTCAGAAATCCCATAACAAAGAAAAATGCTCTTCCAGTGACTTTATTTTTAGAAGGAACGTATTATCTTTGACAACTAGAGTTCTGGAGACAAAGTTGAACCAACTAATAAAGACTGTGGATTCCAGAATAAATGGCCCTGCACTGGTAGCTCAAGGTTTGCAGGCTGCTATCCAGGGTGCTGAATCAATTTGTCTCATTACTGAAACATTGCTTCTGTTGCCCTTCTGCCTTTGACTGTGTCAAACTCGTCATTCGTGCTATACCTAGCAAGACCTCCTCTGATTAACATGCTGCTGACTGCCCTTTTCAGGACTAGCTGACTCCAAGTTTTGATCGAGAAAAGTCTGATTTCTCATTTGAACTTCTGGTGGATCAGCCACAAACTTGAATCACTCTATATCCACAGAGATTAAAAGCATCCTGACAGGTAAGCAAATATTTCTCCCAGAAATGCAATTAACCATCCAGGGGAGCAGATAATTTGTTCCTGTGGATGGCTGCTGAGCTGGAGAAATTATTTCAGCACAACCAGGTCTCAGGAATGGAAAGTTTCACCTTTTCAGAAAGCTTCTACTGGCCCTCAGCCTAGACTGAGACCAGATCTCTGGCCCTAGGAATTGAAAATCTGGTGGAGAAAGAAAATGTACTTCCAAGGCCAGTACAGTGGCCTATATTTAGTGGAAAATAAATTAAATACATTAGAGACCCAGAAGAGAAAGTTTTACATGTATTAGAGATAGTTAGGGAAATATCTATGGAGAGAATGAGGGAATATTGATCTTGATGAACAGGTAGATTTTAAGTACAGAAGGTGGTGTCCATTGAAGACAGCATTATGGGAGCAGAAATGCCTGTAGTACATTTGGGAGATGGCAAATGTCTGGCTCAGCCTACAGCTACCTGACCTTTCCATGCATGGTCTATCTCATCTCTCCACCCACATTCCCATACAACATCACCCTGTGCATTTCCCATGGTGACTGCTTTATTTCTCTTATACAAAAGAAAGAAATATCTTGTCAAATGTACAGAAACCTCAAAGATAATACTTCACTAGCATCCTTCAAGTCCTTGTGACATTTTCTGGAGACATTCTTCAAGGTAAGGGATGCTCTAAAACTTTTAGTTCTCACATCATAGCGCTGACATCCTTGGCTTTGTTTAGTTTAGAAGTGGTTAATAAAATACAGCCCCAACTCAAAACAAACTTGTTTTGAGAAAACTTTAAAAATAAGCAGAAAGCACAAGCAGAGGGGAGAAGGTACCTGGAACTGTGAGGTTCGATGGGGAAAACTATATGATTTCACAGAGAGCAGGCTTTAAGAAGCTACAAGAACCATCCACACATGAGACCCCCATTTCAGAGGGCATTCTATGGAGGCATTTTGTAGAACACATTTTCAGAACATGAATTTCCACCAGCTATATGATTTTCAAAGTTTGTATAAGACAAACAAGCAGAAGACATACACATCAAGGATTTGTTAAGACAGGGCCAACAAAGCCCTCTCCCCTGGGGGATGACATTTGAGCTGAGACAGGAGCAGTAAGGTCTCCCTCTGTTCACTTAGTAAGGGTTACTGGGTGGGTCACATCAGTGAGGTACTAGACCAGTTCCCACCAGAATTTGGATAGATTAATGTATTTCACTAATATGAACAGTTTAAAGAAACTGATCAAAATTACTTATATTGTGGTAGCCAAATATAACATGGAGGATTCAAAAAGCAAACCCTTAGACATTTTATTTACTCATTGTTAAAGCGAAGACAAAGTTAGGTGTGACTCGAGATTGAAAATACCTACCAGGTTTTATGAGTGTGGCCAGATGATCTTCTTATCCCCATTTTTTCAAGATAATCCTTAATTATAACCATCTCTCCCGCTAGCATGAAAGGTATTTGGACCCACACTCTTCAGTTCTACACATTCTGTTCATTTTGCACGGCTCTTGGCTTGACACCCTTTAATGAGGTGCGCGCGCACACGCGCGCACACACACACACACACACACACACACACACACACTCTTTTCCTCCTCACTCCTTTTAGCTTTTGTCTACTTGTCACCTTACAGGAACTTTCCCACCCCTTCATGCCTCCAAATCATGCTAAGGACTGTGTCTGTCTTTCTACAGGGCACTAGGAAAGACTGCTCTTCGGAACAATCAGTTTCAAGGGATGAGCATTGGAAGTACATGAGTTTAAAATGCTCCAGGAAAGATTTAGGATTGAAGAGTTAATTGTTTTTGTGCTTACACTCTCTGGAAAATGTACTTCAGTGAAATAGGACTTTTGGAGATCTTGCCAAGTCCACAAGGTGCTACTGCCCTCAAAAGAAAGGACAAAAGAGTATTTAGTAGGTCTTGTGTTACTCTAGATATCAATCATGTCTCTGTTTATTTTTTTTTATATATATAATGAAGAATCTATGCTGAAATGAGTAAGAGACAGATGGTAGCAGAGGAACACGTTTTGGAAATTCCATGCGGTATTTGGAGAGAATGAGATGCAGAAAAGTGAAGAGCAGCTGGCGTGATTTCTTGAAGGCAGGTCTAGAAAATATCTAAGAGGGCGAACCACCATGTGCCATTAGCCACTTACCCTTGAACGGCCTATCAAAATACGGGGGTATCTTGAATATGTGCATAAACCAAACTTTAATTCTTCACTTCACACTCAAGAAGTCTGTATAAAAAGCAAGGCAAATCAGGCCAAAGAAATGACCATGACTTCTGAAAAAAACACATGATAGCTTTAAAACAACTTTGGGTGTGCGATAGCCTTTACCTATGCAGGGAGATTGTGTTCTATAGGTTGAGGCTTTTGGAGATAAAACCCCAATGTTAATTATTAACATCCAGAAAAGTCTGTAGGTGTGTAAGATGAGATATTGAATGAGAAGTCCCCGAACCCTACTGTGCAGCTGGAGCCCAAGATTGAGCAGGCTTTATTTTGCTTTTGAGGAAGCATGAAATTATTTTTATTTACCTGGAACAATGTATCAAACATCTGTGTTTACCATTGTCTTGACACACCCATTAGGACTAAGAACAAATGTCAGTGAAGCACGGTATTAACCACAACTAGATAATACCCAAGATCTTTTTGGTTGTTGGTTACTATTCCAGCCCTAATGGGCCAGCACAATTCAAAGCACCCATTTCCACCTGAGTTTTTACCTTTAATGCCTAGTGGCACTGAAAGGCTTCTGAGCAGTGTTAGAGTACCAAAGTAGTTATGTATCTGAGAAACATAATTTTCACCTTGCTGCTTGCCCAAAAATAAATATCTGAGTCATGGAAAACAACTATTTATTTGAAAACTATGAGACATCAAATATGAAATACAGTTAACATCAACACTGACACTGTCGCGAGCACCTTCCCCTAAACCACCCATGACTCTCGGACCCGTGTGCAGGCAGCATGAAAAGCTGATTGTCCGAGGATCCTAGATGCCTGGAGGACAGTGTTAAGAGACAGTGTCTCCCACAGCTGGGAGCAGACGTCCGCCCATTCCCGGCTGGTGATCACAGACACACAACCTGCCCTACCAGGACTCACAGGCAACAGCAGAGACCCTGGGCTCATCAGAATGCACGTCTGGCTGAATCCCAGCTTGGGGACAAGGTAGCTGGCTAAATGGAAGCAGACCTAGCAGCCTCACACATATGTTTGGTCCCATTTGATAGAAAGTCTAATTAAAAATTATAAATGTGCTGAACTATTTATACATTTATATATATCATGTGACAGATAATCCCTAACACTTTCTCACTGAACCAGCTGAGAGGCAGCTGTGATATAGATACATGGCTTGAGTTAAAGTCCCTTGGGCTGTGTTCAAGAGCCCAGTGGTGACTGGCAAGTCCTTTCTTCCCTTTACACCTTTATCTCCTTTTGGAGAGAAAAGAAAATGGACCCAAAGGTGGTAAATAAACATTGTATATTCCATTCTCCCAGGCTGGGCAGTTGTTGGCCAGGCATGGTAAGTGGATGCCAACCAGAACAACTGTTAAGCTGAACACTGAATGAGTCTGCTAACACTGCATCGCCGTACATTCTGGTTTCCTCTACGGTTTCAGAATTCGCAGGTTTGAAAGTGTCCTGGCAGCCATCTAGCATTTTTCTGTTCTGAAGAGTGAACCTCCTTCTAAGCAGCTGTACTCATCCAGCTTTCAACCTCCAAGGAAAGGCCCTTTCCTCTCCCTGTTGGCTGATAATTTGCATCTAGACCAGTGCTCTTTCCTGTCACTTGACAGGAAAACAAAACCAAACAAAAAAGTATTTATTCCCTTCTCCTGGAGGACTCAAGGGAATGCTGGCTGGCAATCTTCCCGCTTACTCCTTGGAATGCCACAAACACGGCCAGACCCAGCCTCCGGAACCATGACAGCGGGGCAACTCTTCCTTTCCAACAGAAATGAGCAAGCAGTCATTAGGTCCATCTTAAGATTTCCCTACAGGGGCTCAGTTCCATCCCATAGTAGTACTTCCAGGCCATATGGTGAAGAAGGAAGCACGTGGATTCAGGAGGGAAGCATCTTGGGTTCTGGTCCCACCTCGTAGCCATCCCGTGTGACCACATCGTGGGGCCTCGTCCTCCCTTGTCAGACAAAACAGTTTCCAAGATCACATTCTAGCTGAACTCAGTCTACACACAGAAATAGCTGAAGGCATCTCGGCAGGTGGGCAGTGTTTCTTAGAATCTACTCACAAAGGCGAATGGGTAGAGTCAGCTTTATTGGCTACCAGCCTTATAGGGCTTTTAGAGATTGTCTGTTTTAGTCGCCCATTTTATAGATGGATAAGGTGCAATGTGGAGAGCCAAGGGGATTTCTCAAGATCACACTGTGAATTGTTATAGGGCAGGGACTACACCCAGATACTTAGATCCTGGCTTTCACACCGTGCCCACCAGCAGCTCTGCAGGGGTAGGGTAGAGTTGCATTTTCACAACAGGGAACCAGGAAATGTGGGTGTTGTTTCTCTAAGCCCAGTTTTCTGGTAACTAATGTATTGCCCTTGACCTTTGTTCCCACAGGCATGGCCCACAGAGGACAGGGACAATGCGGGGCGGGGCAGGTGTCCAGCATTTGCAGGTAGCTAGCTGGAGGTCAGGTCTCAAAGCCAAGCTCCATTCCTCACCTCTGTAGGTGGAGGGTGAAACTGGAAGATGCCTACACTGACACCCTCTCTCTCTCCCTCTCTCTCTCTCAAATGCTCTAAAAAATCCCTGTCCTCAAGTCAGTTCAGCTGCAAGAACCCATCCATCTATCCCTGCTTCTTTCACTAACTGACTAAAACACAGGCGCTTTTCCTCTTGCAGAAGTAAAAGGGTGCCTTGGAGGGACAGAAGAGACTCAGCCAGAAGGAGAGACATTGATTAGTACAACATGCACAGACGGAAAGGTCGCGCTCTCGGTCTGCAGGCGGAGGACAGTGGGGCGTGTGGAACTCGGAGCACTGGTATCCTCCACATGCATTTCCCTTTCTTGCCTTCTGTTTCTGTCAGTTGCATCTCTTGTAGTTGAGCTGACTCAGGAAATCGAGACACTTTGTGTTTCTATGAACTATGCTCCCGGAGGGATAATACGTACAGCCAGAATTAAAACACTACCACAAACTATTAGGGATTTCTGATTGTTACAGGTATCATTGAAGACTCCAGGACAAGGTCAAAGTCTCCAAATCTGGCTTGGGAGAGGGGTTTTCTTTCAGACATTGAAGGTAAAGCTCTCAAGTCAATTTATACTCTGCTGGGCTGAGTCAGTCAGGGTACAAATTAAGGTCCATATATTTCAGGGACGAGAAGGAAACGGTTGTGTAAATACACAAGTATGAACATCAATCTGTATTAAATTATGTAAACATATACATCTTCTGAGGTCAGCACACAGATCCTCTTCTCAAAGCAGGGCTCCTACTGTAGCATTGCTCGAATCTGTTTGGAAGTTGACTCATCATTCAAGTGCTTTGTAGTGAACCTGAATGGGGAGGGAGGGAGGGAGAGAAAGGGAGGTCAGTGGTTCAGCAGACCTGTGCAAAAGCATCCCAAGTGACTGCCACCCATCTGCAAACAAAACTTACAAACCAAACATGAGGGCTTGCTTTAGACAAAGAGCCACACTCAGTACCGGGGACTGAACCCGGGGCCTTCACATCCCCTGTTCTTATTTTTTTATTTTTATTTTGAGATAAGGTCTCATTAAGTCACTAAATTGTCCAGGTTGGGCTCAAGTTGGCAATTCCCCTGCCTTAGTCTTCCATAGTGCTGGACTTACAGGTGTGCACCACCATGCTCAGCTTGAGTGCATAATCTTACCATCAAGGCAAGCCATGCTGAGTCACAAATTTCAGTACATGGATTTCCCAAAACTCAAAAGTTTATGTTCTCTGCTTGTGTGGCAGTACTTATCCTCACTGCATACTTATCCTCACCACTAGTGGGCACAAATGCCGGTGAACAAACCAAAAAACAATGGTGTGATCCACAGGCTCCCATTAACTTGATGTAGAAATTGTGATCCCCTCCCCATCCCAGAAAGGGGGAGATGGTTGGAGGGGTCAGAAAGGGGAAGTAAAAAGGATCAAGATGTGCACCAATTCCCCACCATGAACATATTCATTACACATCACAAACACACACTCATAAGCTAAAAGTAGTCCTTGTGCAAAGGAAAGTGATGATGTAACATGTAATAAACCCATGACCATGCCTAGGCGCCCCCTGGAAGTTTCCACTTGAATCACGAAGGTGAAGTAACTGCCTTGGTTTCACAGGAGAGGAAACAGATTCAGAGAGGTCACATGACCACTCCAGATCCCAAAGCTGACTGACTGAGAAACAACTTGTGCCTTTAGACTTGAATGCAGGGCAACTGCCTGGAAAGCTCTTTCCTTTCATTGTGTGCCCAACACAGCACGGACCCTCAAGCAGGTTCTGCCTGATTGAATGAAACTTTTAGTTTGAGAAATTCAGAAGTCAGTCTTCTTACTGTGTGTGGAAATCCAACCTGATGTGAAAAAGGTTTTTTTTCTAGCAGGAAATACCTTGGATAACTTGTAGAATTTGAGGTGCTCTCAGCTGGCATAGCAGCATACTCTATAATCTCAGCACTCTGGGAGGCTGAGGCAGGAAAATTCTAACATCCAGCCCAGCCTGGGCAGTTCAGTGACTTAAGCATGACTTTGTCTCAAAATTTAAAAAAATGAAAAAGGCCTGGGGATGCAGTTGACTGCGAAGGCCCTGGGTTTAAACGATGATGCTGTCATGGTATTACATTTTGGCAGGATGAACGCTTGGCACCTCAGGCCCCCAGCGCCAACTGCAGTGTCTAGGATTGGAGACAGCTCATGCATCACTGAATGAGACAGGCTAGAACTGAGTGTCCTTATCTTCTGCGAAGACTCACTGGCTGCTTCCTACATGTTAGTGGTAAGGTGGAGGGAAATTTAGGAGTAAGACAGCAGGCACCCCAGCCCTTCCAGAATGCCACCCAGGGTTGGGATGATTTACCCAGAAGCATGAGTCAACAACTTCCTGGAGATGTGTTTACTGCTGAAAACCAAGAACCCTCCGCTCAGGGTGGGAAGAGCAAGCGCATCTGTGCAGGAGTGGAGGCGCTGGGCACCGCCTCCATGTCAGCCCGCCCTCGGCTCACGTGCCGTCTCTGCTCCCTGGTTCAGTGCTGCTCTGTGAGGCAGGTGAGGCCAGGACAGACTGATGGGGCTGGCGTTTTTTAGCTCTAGTTTTCCAGGCTGATTATTTTCCGCACAGGTTTTATTTTCAGGGCAAGAGGGCTGTTAGCAGTGAGGGGCTACAGAAAGCCATAGCCAGCCAGACTTAGATGGCCTGTGGTGCCCAGCAGGCTTCTACATTCTAGTGGCTGCACACAAGAACTACCCAGGAAGCTGGCAGTCAGGCTTGCAAACAAACACAAGCCACGCACCAGCAAACACAAACCAGATGTCTCACCCCGTGATGCACACGGTCTGGGGCGGAGATGAGCTCTAGTGCTTCCTGAAGCTGCCCACATCCTCCCTCTGTGTGTGCAGCTGGGTTTGGGGACCACGCTAGAAGGGTGGAAGAGGGGCTGGGGATTTAGCTCAGTGGCCAAAAGCGCCTGCCTGGCAAGCGCAAGGTTGTGAGTTCAGTTCCCAGTACCGGAGAAAAACCAAAAAAAAAAAAAAAAAAAAAGAGAAGGGTGGAAGAGAAACTTCCATGGAGCCTCAGGCCATGTGGCTGAGGGTCAGTCCTGCTGTAGGTCCTAGCTTGGCCCTCTCCTCTGCATTGTTTAGCTAGTTATTTGACTTCTTTCAACCTCAATTTCTCCCATCTGTAAACAGGGAATGGTAAAAGTGGTGCCGGCCTTGGAGGTCACTGGGAAATCTACAGATATGTTCAAATGTATAAGCAGTCAAGCATGGTGCTCTGGCTCTCGGTTCCTGCCACATGGACATTTGCAACAGATCTGAAGGGAGCCTCACCTGAGGGCGTTCAGCAGTCCCTCCACGCTGTCTGGGGCCTGCTCCTTCAGAACCTTTATGCAGCCCTTCATCTGGAAGAGAAAGAACAGTCTGAATACTGGGGTAGCTCTGTCCCCGTCACTGTCTCTGTCCTAACACCGTCCACAGTGGCACAGCATTTCTGCCCACAGAGATGAACCAGCCTCACCTTCCCTTCAGGCTGAGCAGCTGTAGCTCTGGCTGTGCACCATGACCACCCCGGACTTCCAGGCCATCCCATCATTGTACATGTTCCTTTTGGGGACGAACACTGGAAACTTGGATCTCCTTGTCACTTACTTCAAGCCAAGTGCAAGGATGCGAAGCCCTCTGCTCGGTGCTTAGTTAAGATTCACTAAATGTCTTACAAACCTGATAACTTTATGCTTCCCTCTGCCCACGATGCTTTCCTTCTCCAGATGTTTGGGAAATTCTTACCACTTCTGCTTAGGTCTCAGCTGAAGTCCACCTACTCCAGGGGCTTCTTCTGACCTCTCAGGTAGAGAGTAACCATCACCTCTCTGCTGTCCCAGTGTCACTCTGGTATTTATCAGACCCCTTGCAGAGTCATTGCCCAAATTAAGTTGTCTCCCTCACTAGCCCAGGAGCACTTGGAGGTGCAGATCTGTGCCTTTATCAGTTCCCACAAGACTGGGGAAGAACAGCTGCAAAGATCTGAACCTCACAGAGGCCGAACATCTAGATTTCATCTGTTGGCTTGATTAGTATTTGCATGAATTTAGACAAGTTTCTTAGCTTTCTGTGCCCTTGGAATAGTTGTAATTTGAGCAGTACATGAAAATTAAATTCATAGAGATCACATCACCTTATATATATGCTGTAGTGTTTTTTAGCAAAGCAAGAATCTTTCTTCAAAGAAGATAATCATTCAATTTAAGCTCAGATGTTCATACAGGGTATGTACCAGATTTGCTTAGGGCTAGGGACTCTTTTATAATGGTTGCTTGTAAAGTTTTTCGGTGGCTGTATTTCTGGGATGTCAAAAGTTTGATTATAAAGACCTAACACAATCTATAAATTGTGCAAGCAGTCAAGGCATTTGGTGGGCACTTATAGGCTCATTAAGAAAGAATGTCAAGGTCAGGCAGTACTGTCTGCTGTGTTCCAGGATGGGGGAGACTGAGCAAGCAGCTAGGCACCATTCCAGGCTAGAGATGATATCAGAGAGGCAGAGATGTGGTCCCCCTTCTATTAGAGCTTACAGAGCAGTGAGAGGAAGGAAACAGACAGCTCATTATCATGCTGTGCTAAGTGTGGCTGTAACGCACCCGCGAGGGACCGTAGACATGGATGTGGGAAGAGACTGAATGTCTAGTTCTATTTCAGGGTACTTAAAGCTGTGGGTATGAATATAAGACACTGTCAGAGACATGGTTGGTGCCAGACCCAGCATCAATTTAGAAACACATTAGGAAATTAGGGGCTTTTTCTTCTACAAAACACCCTTGACAGGTGTTAAACATTCCAGAAATGTGGCTGATATGAAAAGGACAGGAAGAAACAGAGGAGGAGGAGGACCAGTAAGACCAGCCAGGGTGAGGGACCTGCAGAATGGGGGTGGGGTAAGGCTCTGGCTGACTCATGACACAGGAGGGTGCAGAAGAGGGAGGACACAGCTCCTAGGACCAAGGATGAGAGCTCTAGGCTTCTGAGCCAGACTCTGTGGGAGAAACACCTGAGCTGGAACTCAGGAGGGGAAACAGGTTTGTTGGTGAAGGAAAACATTTGGTTTGTGGCTGGCCATGTTTCAGGTGTCCAGAGGAAGTAAGTGCTGAAATTATGGGTGAAGCACAAACTGGGACAAGTGTTAAAAATTGGTTCCACATGGGCTCGTTTCATAAAATGTTAAGGAACTCATTTGAAAACAGCACCTCACCTAAACTACCCACCTTTCCGCGCACCCAAGATCTGCTCTCTAGACAGCTGACCCCTGTGGGTGCTTTCTCCCTCTGGGGATTCCTTCTACTGCAGTACTATTCCTTCCCTCTGTCCATTTAGAAAAACCCTACACCTTCTTCAAGGACCTCGTCAAATTTCACACTGTCTCTGCCCTAAGCAGCCTGTCTCTCCCTCACCTGGGTGTGCAGAGCTTGCTGCACATCTATTCTGCAAATCAGGGCACCTCTCTCAGGGCCTCACAGACACATTTTCTTCTTTGCAGCTGATGTTGCAGCCCTTGGGACTTATAAACCCAGTGCCCGTAACTGTGGCTCACAAGCAGACCGTGCCTGGAGGATGCACGTCAAAGAAAATGGCCCATCATCAAAGAAAATGACCCATCTCACACATGCACTGTGCAGTGACCCTGACCCTTTCTTAGAGCCACATGCAAAGCTCAGAGGACAAGCCTTACTATGCACCTCTGCGAGCAGACAGACTTCATCAAGACTGCCTGTGAAGGTTAGCACTGTGCACCTCGATGGAAAGACTATAAATGATACAGAAAGCCAAGCTTTTCAAAAGTTAGGGTATGAGGCATAATCGCACCCAGTGAATTTTTAATTGCTGACTGTGTGAGAAATTAATAAATGGCAATGGAAGGTGAAGATCTCTCGAGTATCGATCTATTTATACTCCACCTATAGTATGGAAAAATTTTAAGCCTCACAAAAACACAGTCACATAAGTTTAGCATGTGAAAGGATGTCCAAAATATACTGCTGTAGAAATGAAATGCTTTTTAAGAGCATGTTGAGCTGGGGCTTAATTTGTGAAGCACACACATTCATACACATACACACACAGATGGGTGGACAGGTATATGCTCACGTGAATACCGGTCACATGGCAGGTGAGATTATTACAGATATATTTAATGTTCTACAATTTGATTTCCTACATTTCAAAAACTTATTACTGAGTATTCACTTTTGTGGCAAATGGATATAATTAAAATAAAAATCACAAAGATTTTATGAAGAATTATGCCAAACTCAGCAGTTTTCTTAGCATTTTGTGCTCAACACCCAGAACTTCAAGGAGTGTAATCCAAGTTACATTTTTCACTGATAAACTTCCTTGCACTCCTCTTTGCACTCTTCAGACCCTTGGCTTCTCTGGGCATGCAGACTTGCTCTTGACAGTACCAGTGCAGGCAGTGTGCTACCCAGCCTTAGCCACGTTAGAGTAAGTTAGGGTCAAGAGGTTCTATTCTGCCATTGCACCGCTTTAAAGTAATGCATGCTATGCACTATGAAGTTGGTGCTGCAGGCAAGTGCTGGGCTAATGGGAGATGTGCTTTATCCCATAGGTCGACAGGATAGCACCTGCACCCAAATCATGGGTTTGCCAATAGTTTCCATCCAGCCATCCATCCATCCATCCATCCATCCATCCATTCAGTAAAACACCACAGAACAACTATTGAGTGTCATGCACTAATTGCCAGATGCTGTGCTACACAGTGAAGGAGACAGCAGACATACAAATTATGTCCTTGTCATTGTCTAAAAAGTTTGACTTTGTTGGAAGGTCAGAAAATGCAAACTTGTGAGTGCTCTGAGGAGCAGAGGAAAAGGAAGTCTGTACCCATGCAGAGCACAGGAAATGCTTTTCTGGATGAGATAACATTGCAGAGTGGATGAAAGAAATCTGCCCATCAGACAGGAGGAGAAAGGGCCCTTTGAGCAGAGGGAAAGGATCACATGCACTTATTTACAGTCATGAGACTGGGTGGGGCAAAGACACGGAGTTATAAGAGAGGAAACTGAATGGTGATGTAACGTTTGCGTATGGTGCTTGTAATCCAGTACCTCCCAACTTTTTTCTTGTTAGGACACATGTGAGAGTGAAATCAGCACAGGACACTGGGTTAATAGAGGGACAGAGAGCTGCTAAGGGACTGGTGATCTGCTCGCTATACTAGGATGAGGGACACATGTTCCAGCTATGCCTTACTGCTGTGTGTTTGAGGCTGTACCTCTGTCCCAAGCACAGGACAAAGGGGGACTGCATCTTGGAGAGGCCACTCCCAGTGGGGGTATGGAGGCCAGAGGAAAAGGACAAGGTCTACAGGGCTCTTATCTAGAAAGGGCATTGCACAGCTGTTCTTACGTCGATCTTGGATGTCTTGCAGAAGGCTCCCACAGGGTGCACGTGGTCGTAGAGGATGATAACCCCCACCATCACCCTCATGCAGAACATGAGCGTCTCTTCACTCGTGAACCTGCTCCGGTACTCCCTGCAAGAGAGAAGACAGTGGCCGTGGCACCTCTTCAGCAGAGCAGCCGACGGGGGCTCTGCTGCTTGAAGGGGCTGCTCTCCGCATCCTCTCTGGAGAGCAACCCTGGGCTGCCAGAGCCGGGCTAATGCGCTCCTGAAGAGACCATGACAGAAATTCCTCTTGAATCTATCGAACCGGCAATTCAGTGTGAAAATGAGGGAAATCAGAGGACAGTAAATTCTTGCTTCTGCCCTTCAGTGCCCAGCTCATCATGCACATCACCCCCGCCCATCAATCTTGAGTATTTTATAGCAGGTCCCTCTGGCTGTCCAAGATTGTAGAGAATAATGGCTTCATCACAGAGACAAAGAATTGGACTTGTTCTTACAGAGAAGCTATAGGGTCTATAGTCAGAGTAACTTCCTTTGTTAAGACCCGAGTGCAGGCTTGATGGGATGGGTGAAGAAATGATATACCATTCACCGAGCAGAGAGCATGTGTAGAGCTTGCATTTTGTTCACTTACCTTATGGGTGTCCATCATGATTTAGATAATTTCAGACAATTCTAGAGATTTCCTTAGCATCTATTTTATGATGAATTTGCCCCATAATGAAGGTGGCTGCTATTTCTGACTTAGTATAGATCTTAACTTTGGTATAGATAAAATATTTGAAATTAATACCCTCTTATACATGAGTAGAAAATGTTTTATAAGATTTTGTGGCTTTCATAAACATTCTGAAAAACAGAAGATGTTTGGGAAACTTTATTAGACAAGGAGATCGAGGAAGGACCAGAGAGGCCAGGACACCTAGTCATTGGGACAGGAGAGGGTACAGATGTGTGCAGACCCCTGGTTTCGACAGGAGACTTCCCCATAATTATGCTGCTTCATCAGCAATAACTCAACCAATTTTTAACCCTAAGAACTAATAACTAGCTTCGGTACAAAGAAATAGTCTTAGGACAGAGAGACAGAGAGAGAGAGAGAGAGAGAGAGAGAGGCAGAGACAGAGACATGGAGAGAGACAGAGAGAGACGCAGAGACAGAGAGCCATTATTCTGCAGCAGTCATACCACTTTTACTCTCCTACTCTGATTCTGAATTTCTTAAATCTTCTCTATAATGTATCTATAGTAATAGTCATCTAACCTTCTCCATTTGGTCTTTGCCTATCTTCATGTGTATATATGTAGGCATGCACATATGTATGTATGTAGGTATGCATGTATATATGCATGTGCTTGCAGGCTTAGGATTGAACCAAGGGCCTTTATACTGAGGTACATTTCCAGTCTTTTTTGTTTGTTTTTGAAATAAGATCTCATTAAGTTCCTTCAACTTGAGATTCTCCTGCCTCAGCCCCCTAGAGTGGTAAGACTATGGACATGTGCCACTACATGTGGTCGTCCTTATATATCATTTAGTGGCATCTTTGCACCCTGGTTCTGCCATCTAACAAGCTCTGAGACCTTTGGGAGCTTAATCAGCCAATTTGAATCTCAGCTTCTTGGACTACAGAAAGAAAGGTAAAGATACCTGCTGCCCAGAGTTCCTTCTGAGCTTGAAGCAGGTAATATAATGGGAACTTTCTGTACTGACCCACTGGTACACAACTTGTCTTAACGGGTCGCAGCTGGGTGAAGTGCCAACTGAAAATGCGCCTTGGGTTCACTTACGGAGTTTCCAGCATGACTTTGCAGACACTGGTCATTGTACTGAGGCAGTCCGTGGTGTTTTCTATCGGCAGGGTTTTGTTCTACATTGGGGACACAAATGCATGTTAGTTCTGCGAGCAGCTTTTACTCACAAATAAGAAAGAAGCAGCTTGCTGCTCAACTCTGCTTACTTCAGAGACAAAGTGCATGGTGGCATTGCTCAGGGTTTTCAGCATTGGCGTGGCTTCTGCGTAGAAGAGGGACATTCGATTGGCCATCTCGTTATTAACTTCATTCTCAATGTCTAGCTGAGGAGAAAGGAAGAGAAAGTGCAATTAGAAACCTGAAGGGCTGGGGCTGGGGATATAGCTCAGTGGCACAAGCGCCTGCCTGGCAAGCACAAGGTTCTGAGTTCGATTCCCGGTACAAAAAAAAAAAAAAAAGAAAGAAACATAAAGGGCTGTCTTCTCCTCATGCTCTGCTTGACCCAGAAAACAAAAAAGCTGCAGGGATCGGGACCCCAGGATCCCAAGACTCACGTGCATGTTGTTGATACGATTGCGACTTATTGTTCTTCGGTAGTAGCTGAAGTCATTCTGAATTGCTGGATTCCTCATCTGAAGTTAGAAGACAGGAGAGAGAAGGTCATTTCCTGGCAGCAGTTGCAGAAATGTGCATTAAGAAGCCAGGTACTGGATTCTGTCAAAATGCCAGGACTTCTCCTGTTTCCCCCAAAATAAGACCTAACTAGAGATCAAAAGTGCCCACCGCAGTCATCCTATCCTTGCCTTACCTGTCATTAGAGTAGCCACCCCCTGAGAAAATAGTGCGGTATAATCTGCTGCAGGACACTGGCCATCACCATGATAACAACCAGTTATTAAGCTGAAGTTTATTTTCTGGTTAGGTCTTATCATTGGGGAAACACGGTCTTTGTTAACACAACAATCAAAGAAACTTCTAGTTAAAACTAAAGACCCATAACTTCACCATTCTAAATCATGCCCTGTGCTTGCTGTAGGCTAGATTTCAGTTAAGTCTATGGGTTCCCAGTGAGGAACAGACCCTTAAAGAAGTTTTCCTCTCATTTCATTTGGCAGATTCTAAATTTCCATACATAAATCATCATCTTACTAAATGCGAATCTCTTGAGCGGAATGGGGCTCTAAGGAAGGAGCTGCCTATGCTCCCACCCCAGCTCCAGTGGAAGGCTTGGGACAGGGCTGGACACCTTCACAGTGCACTGGCTCTGACCTTCAGCTCATCAAACCGAAGCGTAAAGTGCAAGATTTCCGCGAACTCCTTTGCCAGGGCTTGCTCGCGCTCCAGGTGCTGGGTTGGCGTGTAGGGCGGGCACGTCAGGGACTCCAGCAGACTCTGCAGGGCTGTCTCTGGAAGCCAAGGGTGAACACTGTCCTCAGCCCCGCTGACCACCTTAGGGGCCCCTCTGGGGTCCCTGGTCCCCACATGCTGCCCGGGCAGTGGCAGCTGCCATGCAAGCAGACGAGGCCTCCCCCAGCCTGGGCCAGCAGCTCCAGGGCGGGAGCCCTGCGGCTACAGCGTTTGGTCAGCACCCTCTACGCTCAGCCTGCAGGTCTGCCAGTCCCAATTCCTGCCCCAAGAAGAGGACACGAGTTCGCTGGGCTCTCCTAAGAGCCACTTATGGAGAAAGAAGAGGTCCGATTGTGTGTGTGGTCTTTTTTTTTTTTTGGTAACTGGAATTGAACTCATGACCTTGCACTTGCCAGGCAGGCACTCTGCCACTGAGCTACATCCCTGACCCTCTAAAGGGCCAGCTTTGAACACATGGCTTAGGTCTCTGGCTCCACACAGAGTGAGCGCTGCTCCCACTTCTCTTCCTCTATGCTCTGACCTAATCCCAGGAATGCTTTCCTCCAGAACCACCACCATATTACCCCTGCCTGCCGATCGTAACCAGGGCTAATTTTGGAGGTAAGGCTTATACTATGAGAACCCTGAGAAATCATGCTGTGGCTTAGTTCCTGGCTAGGTCTTATTTTGGGGAAAACGGGGTATGAGGACTTGGACTTCGGACACCCACTCCCACTGTGCCCACAGAGAACATGCCAGCAGAAGCACTCTCAGTGTGCCAGGGCCTGCGCGGCAGAAATGTGGGCGACTCAAGAAGGAGAACGGGATAGACGCTGCTGATGGCTGGCCTCCCAGGACACCAGTGGGCACAGGACGTGTCTCAGCGGCTCCTGCTGCCTTCTCAAATGATAAAGCAAAGCCTCCTGCGTGCGAGACAGGGAGACCAGAAGGAGACCCACCGAGCCGGATGGAGAACTCGTAGAAGCGCTTCAGCCTCACCACCAAGGGACACACCGCGTTCCAGGCCTTTTCTTGAAGCTGGATGTCATTGGGGTTTTGAATCGCCTGCAAGGATGCAGCAGAATTGCACGTGACTCCTGCCATTGTTCTTTCGACAACCTCACTCTTCCCTTGCTTGTCTCTAAAGAATCTACAGGTTTTATTTCCCTAGACTTCTAACAGCACAGAGTACCAGGGGTCCTAAGCCCCGGGCCATGGCCTGTGGAACCAGGCCTCACACTACGAGGCAAGAGGCAGACATCGAGCGCTGCTTCCCTGTGCTAGGTGCTCCCAGTACTGCACCACCAGCCCAAGCTCCACCTCGTCTGGATTGGGCCTCAGATGCCCAAATGAACGCAAACCTTACTGTAAATTGTGCATTGTGGGATCTAGAATGTGAGCCCCTCAAATCATCCCTAAACCACTCTCTCATCCAACCTTCCCCACAGGGCAGTGGAAAGCTGCCTCCGTGGAGCTGGTCCTGGGCTGTGTGTGTGTGTGCGTGTGTGTGTGTCTGCATGCGTCTGTCTCTATGCATGTGGGCTGTGTGTGTGTATGTGTGTGTGTCTGCACGCGTCTGTCTCTATGCATGTGCCTCTCCCCTCTGCCCCAGCTCTGGAGCTCTGTGCTGTCTCGTACATCTCGGATCTCTGGCCCGGCGCCCTTGTAGGCCTGAAGATCGGCGAGGATACTCTCGGAGTCCTGCAGCACGGCGCTGATCTGGTTCCAGATCTCCCTCTCCCCTTCTGTGGGCTGGGCATCTGAGCGGGGGAAACCAAACACACAGAGGCAGGTGTCACAAACTGTGGAGGACACTGGCAACAGTCCTGCCCGCCCAACTGCCAGCTCACTCCTGCAGACTGCAAGGCCGCTCTTTCCCTAAAAGCTGCTGGAAAGGAAAAGTACGCAGCACCCCAGGCCTCAGCTGAGGACACCCAGGACTTTGCCGCACACTTGAACCTGGTGTGTTGGGACCACTCGTGCATTTGTTGATGTGAAGTACATTTTTTCACATACCTGTTCTATGTACCAGGTGACTAAAGGCATCAATACTCTCTTTTGGGGTCAACTCTTCCTTCTTGCCCAGGACTTCTTAAATTCAAAGCCTATTTTTAACTGCGGTAAAGCACATGTACTGTAAATGCATCACCTTAACCTTTTTTACATGCAGAGTTCAATGGATTTTTACTGCCATAGCCATGACCACCACCCAGCTGGTCTCAGGGAGCACCCATTTTCCTACAAATGATTCAAGGTTACCCTTTTTATAGTATAGTAGTACTCTGCTGTGTGCAAAATCCACATTTTCTTTCTCTATTCATCTACCGATGGGCACAGAAGCCGCTTCCAAGGTTTGGCTGTTACGAGTTGTGCTGCTATAAACATAGGTAAGTATAGGTTACGTAATGCAAGGTCTTTAACTCTTTTGGGACAAAACCTAGAAGGGGAACAGCTAAGTCAAATGTAATTTCTAGTTGCAGTTTTTTGGAGGAATTCCTGCACTGACTTCCATAGTGGTTGTACTACTTTACATTCCCACCATGACTGGAAGGCGGCTCCTTTCCCCTTCCGCCTCGCCAGCGTTCGGTACTATTTGCTCTCTCCAGGGTGGCCGTGCACGGGCCTCTTCACCTATCTCCTCATCAGGCCTACCCACCACCCAAAATCGCAGTTGCACTTCCTGGGAAGTGAAGGGAGCCGTGAGCCACGCATAGTAATTCTCTCTTAATGCAAAATCCACAGGCTTCCAGAGGGGGGGCGGACACTTTGCAAACTCCTAGCAATGAGATGAGTTCCGTCAGGGGAAGGAAGCCTTCCAGTTTGCACAGGCAGGGGTCAGAGAAGGAGAAGATGAGTGTGGCTGCAGGTCTGGCCTCCTGCAGGGCCGGCGAGGAAGGCCCGGCGAGGAGGGCGCTGGGAGCAGCCAGTGCTGGGTTTGGCAGAGCTGGTGGGGAGGGGCGAGAGACCCGTCTGGCTGTACAAGAGCCGGGAGGAGCTGTGTACACCTTCACCTCTGCGCCCCTCCCGGTACCTGCAAACTCTGGCCGTGTTTGCTTAGATATGATGCTGCTCATAACACAGAACATGTTATACAAACTTTTCTCAAAGTGCTCTCAATCCTTCAACACAAACCTCAAAACCCAGAAGCCAAGAAGCTCATAACAAGAAAGCAGATTCAGAGAAGTGCAGACAGCTTCCAAGTGGGAACAGAGAAAAGTGCCAAGCAGAGAACCTGGAAAACAAATAAGAATGGAACACCCACGCATGCAGATTCTTTTCCCTTTTGATGAGTGTATCAAACAAAATCACATCCTAAACATGACAATCTCCTAAAGAGAAATTTATTTGGATAAGAGCGAGGTATGGTGGTGCACATCTGTAATCTTAGCATTCTGGAGGCTGAGGCAGGAGGATTCCCGTGAGTTATAGGCCAGCCTGGGTGCATACTGAGTGCAAGGTCAGCTTGGACTACACAGCAAGATCCTGTCTAAAAAAGAGGAAAAGCAAAATAGAGCCCTAGGACCAAGATCCTAAGAACTCAGAAAGCTGAATATAATTATAAAACAGTCTGTGAAAGAGGATGGCACCTGGCCGCTAGGAAGGAAAGCTTCCATGCTCGGCTGCCACACAACTCCCTTTCAGAAAGTCACCACTCTAAAGGTTTAGGTGGAACACCACTCTAAAGGTTTAGTGGGATGGAAGAGGAATTCAGAAAGAACCCAATCACATCCTGATGATGGTTACACTTAGATCCAAAAAGACAAATGTTGCACAGCAGTTTTTCCAAATAGAAGATTTTCCTAGGTGCTTTAAGAATAAATGTTTCAAGCCAGAGGAGGTGGTGCACATTTGTAATCTCATTACTGGGTAGGCTGAGGCAAGAGGACTCCAAGTTCAAACTTAGCCTGGGCAATTTAGCAACTCTGTCTCAAAAAATAAATAAAAAAGCAGCTCAGTGTGAAGGCCCTGGGTTCAATCCCCAGTGTTGGAAAAACAAAAGCAGAAAGAAATTTTTCAGTAGACCAGTATAATCCCTCTCACAACTGCAGGGAGTGGCATTTCCTGATGCAGACCGGCAGGGGCGATCTGGATGGGACCGCAGAGCTGGGGGGCGGCTTAGGGATGGAGCTGTGGATCTGGAGGTGGTGTGAACCTTCTTGCAGCCAGCAGTGGCATATGGTTAGCGTCCACCGGGCAGCGGTGAGCTGCGAACAGCAGCCTCCACCCAGCCTGCTCTCCGAAGTGCTTCTCCCTGCGACGTCCCGTACCCTTGGAAATACTCATGTGCGGCCCCTTGTGGAGGTGGGGCTAAGGTGGGAGAAACCTGGCCACCCTCTGCCTTCTTGCCTGCAGGCGCTCTCTCCCACCATGTGTTGGTCTTGTTGGACACATGGTTTCTTCCTCCTCTCCCTCGTGTCACCCCCTCTTTCAGCCAGTATTAAAGCTTCTGTGCCTGCAACACAGCCAGAATGCAGAAAATCCTGTGGGCACTCAGCTCACCAATGGTAGCAGCTCTCCAGGTGTGTGTGTCCCACTGGGACAAGCACTATGCAGCCCTTGGTGACATCTACCCTTGGCCCAGTTCCCCGCAGGGACAAGATTCGTCCCGCTTCACCCCTAGCTAAAGGGTCAGGTCTTTGGAACTGACTCTGGGTGATCTCAGCAGCCAGATGTAGGACTGCAGGCTTCCACTCACATTGTGATTCCAGAGCAGGGCAAGGCACCTGATTCCAGAAACATTTGTTAAGTAAAGAACTGAATGAATGATTCCAATTTTCTTTGCACATTGCGTTCAGTGGCTGTTTCCCTGCTTGTCTCTGAATTGCAGGCTTGCTACCCCCAGGCCCATCTGATGACCCAGCAGCTGGAGGCACTAGGGCGACAGGTGACAGGTGGGTGACTCGAGGGGTGGCTCAGCCAGGTGGCAGAGTGGCAGGCTCTGGGAAGCAGGAGATAAATAAAGGTCCTGTGGTTTCCAGTCCTCTCCCCTCTCTCCTCTTCCCAGGTGACGTTCATGAGATGCAGCGCCCACAGCTGTCACTGATGTATGAGAACCTAACAGCCAAATTTACTGCCCTCCCTTCGGTAGTACTTGTGTTTAGGCATGTGTTACTCATCTGCAGCTGCAGTCCCCTCTGAGTGGCCAACAATACTCACCATCTGTGAAAAGTTGCTCTTGTTTTCATTGCCCAGCCCTGAAACAACCACCACGCTGCCTGCTGGAAAATCTCTGCCAGAGTCTACACTCCTGCCAGTCTCCTTTCTCACCTTCACCTTTTTAAGCTGTGCTATCTCCAGTGTCAAGGGTGGCCGGGTTGAAGGACTCTGAGGGTCAGTAGAGGAAATTGCTGCGTCTAGCCCCCCAGCAGACCCTGAAAGCATTTGCTGAGTGAACTGTGGTCTTTGCTTTTCTATTTTCAACACCAAGATTGACCTTCCATCAAAGAAAGGTATTCACACGCGCCTCACTCACGTGGCCACACACAACGCCCTGCTCTTATGCTAGAAACCAGCCTTAGTTCCAACTGCAGCTGGTGGACTCTCGGGCCATACTCCTCTGAGAACCACATCCCAGCCTGCCAGTGGCTGTCAATTATTCCATCGACTCGGAGGAGAATGGTTACGTGCAGCTGCGGCTTCTCCTGTCTCACACTGGAGCTGTTAAAACCCTTGTGATTTACACAGGCAATTTCAGAAACCGATACCTCCAGGAGCTCCAGAACAAGTGTGCCCGGGCCACTCCCTGGCTAATGAGATAGAGACTTGCTGTCGTGAGAAGCATGAGCATGTAGGGTACACACTGTGACCTTGCATACATACACGTGCAGCCAAGATCTCACCAAATTCCAAGTGCCCAGAGCTTTTGCCAGAAAAAATACCTTCTTATCAATTAAGATAAACAGTATTCAGGATGTTTGCAGTGGAAATTTGGTCCTCATTTGGCTTGATTTGCTGTCAACACTTTGGGGTCACCGCAGAGCTCTGGCATCCACTCCACTGCAACAGAGGAGGGAGGGCGGCTGTGTGTTTGGTCTGTCTGGAAGGTCTCTGACAACCCTACTGCTGCGAACACAGCCAGCCTAAGCTGAGCTGGGCCCTCTGGGGAGTCGGTTAAGGGCTGGACAGGGAAAGACACGCACATCGTCTCCCAACAGCCGCTTTAGGACCCTACAGAGAGTCAGAGAAAAGCGAACTAACCTAAAACAATCTGTGCTGAAGACGAAGAGGCGGAGGAGAAAAAGGCAGAGGGATCCCTCACTTCAAATGAGATTAGGGAGAAATGTAAAATGTGGGCAACAGTGCAAAATTCCATAGAGGATCACCAGCCGAACATGGCTGTGACAGTGCTAGAGATAAATCTGGTTAATGACAGCGCAAGGTCACACTTCTGTGTGCCTGCCTGCTGCTCATGCTGGGCACCTATGGAGGGTTTGATCCCGAGCACGGTCCCTCCAACCATCACTCATGAAACGAGGATGCAACTGCATTCGTCTTTTCCTCCTCCTGTCTCCCAGCCTTTAAACAGGAAGTGGAAACAGTGAGGAGGCAGACGAAAGAAAGACTTAGTAGAGGAATGAAAAAAACAAACAGCTGGGTGTGGTGGAGTATGCCTGTAATCTCAGCACTTGGGAGGCTGAGGCAGGAGGATCACTGGAAGTTTGAGACCAGCCTGGGCTACAATGTGAGCTCAAGGCCAGCCTGAGTTGCATAGTAAGATCCTGTCTAAAATAAATAAATAAATAAATAAATAAATGAAAAAAGATGCTAAATGACTGTGGAAAAATGCAAGCATGAAGTACAGAGCTCACTGAGAAGGTCAACAGCAATTGCAATCCTGTTGTGACTGGGAAACCTAAGGCCAGATGTGTCTAATTTTGTACTATGTTTTGACCCAGCTTAATTATATCTATTTGACCCAGTTCAATTATGTTCCATCACCAACTTCAAAAAGAATATTCAGCACTCAAAGGAGAGGTGCCAAGTTCATTTAAGCTGTTACTACACACTGTGCAGCCTCCCGTCCTCCCTCCAACCCCCGTCCTTAACTCTTTATCATCCAACCTATGTCTGTCTGAAGTAAACTGTGCCACTGAAACGGGGCTTGACAGGTGGAGGGGCCGGGAAAAGGGCACACATCTTCCTGAACAGAGCAGTCTGGGCTCTCCTTTGCGCCTGGGGTTTCAGCTCTAGTCTTTGCAGATGAGCCGGATAGTGGACCCCAGCCCTGAGCTAAGCAACTGTTCCCGCCACCGTCTGACCCAAGCCATCCTTCCACTGCAGCTTCCATTTCTTTTCAAAAGGCATTGGTTACTCTGTCTCAACTGGAATTCTTGCTGTTCTTCAAACATCCACTTTTCCAGTTTCTACACCTATAGTCAGACCGTTTCTGAGTGTTGGAAACTCCCCACCCCATCTGTGTCTATTCATTTGTAAAAGGCGAAAGATTTATATGATCTGAAGAGAAACCAGAGTATAAAGCTATTCATTTGTAAAAGCCCATCCCAAACGCCAGCTCGTGTACGAAGACTTCTCCCATCCTTCTGCAGCTGCTGTGTTTCCAGAAACTGAACTGGATGTTCATTCCTTTGCCTTCTGTACTCCCGAGCCACGCTGTGCCTGTCTGCAGTCCCTTGGTTTCCCTCATCTTCAGCCATCTCCCTACTTGTTCTGCACCAGCCCGAGGCCTTGTCAGCAATACAGGCCCTCATTTCCTCTGCACCGGATGCAGCATGGCTTCCTGAGAGTCCGAACTGTCCTCAACACACCCTTGCTGGAGCTGAAATGTAGACTCACGGTCAAATCTTACCTGCAGCTCACCTTTCCCACCTCTCCAGCTCGTCATCATTCTTAAAAATCTCCTTTAGAAATAGGACTTTTAGGACAAAAGCCTAAAAATTATTTCTTCCCATGAAATGGCCTAGTTTATAGGTGACCAATGGAGAGGATGGCTGTGTCCTTCTAGGAAGCCCCTCGTGATGAGCATTCAGGGCAGCAAAGAAGGGGCAGGAGGGGAGCTGCAGACCCAGGTCCCCCTTAGCAGCCCTCCCTTCCCCTGGGTGACTGCAGCCCACAGCATGTCCTCTGCACAGTATCAGTGGCCTGGGCTCATCTCTGGGGGCTGGGTGGGGAAATGCACACAACTGTACGTATTTTTCTAAATGCACAGCTTTACATTGTCCCTAAATCTTTTAACTCTGGTCCTAGCAATGGGCCACCAGGCAAAGGAATCCACTCCACATTTCCTTGCTTTGAAGAAATTATAGACTCCAAAAATGGAGCTTTGGGGCCAAGAACATTATCAAACTTCAAGATTCTAAATGCTCTATTCGGTCACCATAAGCTTTCCTGAAATGGAAAGTTAGAAAATATCCAGATTCTGAGACAAAGCGGAGCAGAGGACTCCAGTATAGGAGTAGGGAGGAGAGGCCTCCCCCAGTGCTCCTGCCTGCTCTGGGATGGGCGGGGTCCTCAGGGCTGAGGCTCTGAAGCCAGCTGCCGCAGAGAACCCCAGAAACAAGCATCAGATCTTACAGGTTTCCCTTTTATGGCTGGGAAAGCTTTGAGGATTAGTCTCAATGAAGACCTCTTCACTGGCCTGAGTGGAAGTATGGAAAGCCAGCATCTGAGGAGAGTTAAGCAGGTAAGCAGGGTCACGGATCGTGGTGGTACAGGGGGCCTGGGTGGGTGTGTGAGGAAGTCCTGGCTTCCAGAAAAGAACAGATGGATAACTGCCAGGAGCGCCTGTGTCTCAGGACTGGAAATGATCAGGGCTTTTGATCACCATTCAGCCCTTTACATGCTGAATGAAGCAAAGTAAAATGCATGTGATAAGAAATGGAAGAGGATAATTAAAAACGTAAATAGTAAAAAAAAAATACATATATATCCCAAACTAAACCAAACCCAACAACAACATGCCAAGTGCAGTCAGAAATGAGATATCTTTCACTGAATTTAATCTAGAGTACAGGAAAACCTTGGATTGTGAGTAACTTGTTCTATGAACGTTCCACAAGATAAGCAAACATTTCTAATAAATTTTAACTTGTTAAATGAATGGTATTGGCCGGGCGTGGTGGTGCATATCTATAATTCCAGCACTCCGGAGGCTGAGGCAGGAGGATTGTTGCGAGTTTGAGACCAGCCTGGGCTATGAAGTGAGCTCAGCCTGAACTGCATAGTGAGACCCCATCTCAAAAAAAATAAAACAAAGATAAAAATAAATAAATAAATAAATAGTATCTTGCAATAGGAGTAGTATGTGACAACAAATGTCACATGACACAGTTGAGCCAATGGTTCTTCTGTCTCTGTCTCCGTTTCTGTCTCCATGTCTCTCTCTCCCTCTCCCTCTCTCTCCCCTCCCTCTCTCCCTCCCTCTCTCACTGCAGGACTGTGGGTGATCATTTCCCAACAGGAAGAGGTTATAGAGGAGATCTTGTCTGAAGAGGAGGAGGAGAAAAAGGCAGAGGAATCCCTCACTTCAAATGAGATTAAGGTGAAGTGTAAAATGTGGGAAACTGCAAAATTTCACAGAAAATCACCACCTGAATAAGGCTGTAGGGGTGTGAGATGAATCTGTTTAATGACAATGTCATGTCACATTTCTGTGAAATCCTCAAAAGGTGGCAAAAGCAAGCATCACTGGACCAGTTCCCTGTTAAAGCTGCACAAGAAGAAAAGGATTCCATGGAGCCGGTGGACAGTAGTGATTCCAGCATGAAAGTTGTCATCCTCCTCTCTCTTGTCTCCCTCTCACCAACCATGAAGGTTTTCAAAGGGAAGTGCAGGTTAATTTGTTTATTCTCCTGCACATTTTGAATGTTCTTTTTATTTTGTATTACGGTATTGTCATCATTTTATATGAATATTTTTGGGTTGTAGAATGAATCATATGAGTTTCCACGATTTCGTATGGGGAAATTCCCTTCCATATACTGTGCAAGTGCTGTGGATCACAAGCATGTTTCCAGAACAAATTACGCTTGCAAACAAGGTTTTACTGTATTTTTTGCAGAATATCTGAGCTTTGTGGATGCATTTCCTTTTCGGATCGCTATTTTAAACTCTCTGAAGTTACTGAATCAACACACCTAAGAGGCTTTCCCCTTTTGCATTACTGCACCTTGGAAAAATCTTAATCTAGATGTAAGGAAGTCCCAACTATTTTCTTTCCCATAGATAAAATACTTAAAAAGTTAAAGCTTGAAGCAGATTAAAGTGTGCAAGGGATGGGAATTCTGAAAAAAGACATCAAATTGCCCTTGTGGGCTTGGAATTTAAAATGGGAGAGAACAAAAGAGTACAGTTGTAAGCCTAAGCTCAGTCAGAATAAACATGAATGTGCTGTCCATGCTTACATATATATAAAGATAAAGCAAAATCAGAAGGAATCTCTATGCTTATTCAGTCATGACCCTTAAGCTATTTTTACCTGAGGAAAAAATACAATGTAATTGGTAGAAGTGACAAATTTTTTGGATAAATGGGAATTATCTCAAAATCCTGGAATGGTACTATACAGTCAAATAATAAATAAAGAATAGATGGAGATGATTAAAAAATAACTTGTACATCTCACTTATGCTATTTATAACTTTTCTTTAACTTCTAGTGATATATATTGTATGTTAATCTGTGTAAATTAATATGCTTACTATTTTTCTTTGGAGTATGATGTGGTAACTCATACAATTTTTTAGGAAAAATGCATGATACTTTATGTTAAGCCTGTAATAGCTGATCACTTCAAAAATCAAAGAAAATCATGAATACATTAAAAGATTTTCCATTAAGTTTCTGAAAAAAATAGGAAAAGAGTAAAGGAAAATGACGTTAGAAACGATCTCAGAAGTAGATTTGGTTTAAGTACCACCTAAAATCTTTATAACTTCCGTAACAACAAGCTATAAAAAGTGAAAACTTTTTTATTATCATATTCTGATTTGGGGGACTTACTCTCGAAATCCAGGAAAAAGTGTGGATAGTTTTCAATTTCCCTGGTCAGGACTTTGAGCAGGTTTCCCATCCCAGCAAACCTAGGAAAGGCAACACAAAAAATAAACAAATACCATTAGAAATAGAGACACCAGGCTCTTCAGGAATGTCCTGGACCTTCTCTGCTACTGTGAAGGCCAGAAAGATGGCATCTCTTTCTCTCAGAGATGAGCTGTCACCTAGTACCCTCATTCCTGAACTGGTGGCCCATAAATATCTTGGAGGTGATGGGTGCCTAAAACTTAGGGGCATCTGGTGTAAACCACACCAAGTAGGGCAGTGGTGAAAGCATTATGAGAAGTCTCTGGAGAATACACTCTCATGCAGTGTCTCACTCATGATTAGAAGCATTAATCAATGACCATTATACTAAAATAATCAGGTATTTTAGTTTAGGAAACAGACTTTTAGTATACTGTACAAAGTGAATATATATTCTACAAAGTGAAGGACCCCTTCACTAATCCTTGGAATTCCTGCAGTTAATATCTCAATTTTGCTTTGTTTCCTGTCCATCAAAGAAGGCACTACTGAATATCTGTTCAGAAAAGTAACTTTCTTAAAGTTCACGAGAAGCAGAGTTTAGTAAGCATGGGTTTAGGGTCCTAGGTTCTCTTCGAGTTATGTGTAGGAGACAAGATTCCTCAGGACGTGATTCTTGGGCAAGCTGAAGGCTCTCATTGTTCGACATTTCAATGGTAAGCAGGTGGGCAACTTTTTAAGTGTAAAAATTAAAAGGCATAATATCCAAGAAGTCATTTTCTATGAAACAACAGGCTAAGACATTAATAAAGTCAAATCAAGAGAAATACAAATTTGTTACACATCTGCGGTCCTCTCCTAAAAAAAAAAAAAAAAAACCAAATAGGTAAACTATAGTTACTTTTAAATAAAAAGAACGATTTCTACTGCTCTGAGAACTAGACACTGCACTGCCTGCTGGGCTGGCCATGTCCCGCACCCCTCATGCCTCCAACACTTGCTCACAGGACAGTGGATGGCAGCCGTGCTGTTGGGAAGGCCTGCCTCTACCTGTCCCTGCTGTGCATGAACTCAGATGCCTGTCTGTAAAGAGTCACTTTCTAAGTCATGGGACCAGGACTGAGCTGAGCCACAGTTTTCTATGCCTGTAGCTTCTGACATGATAATGTTGAAATAAGGAAGGTTTGAAGGCACCCTACAAGGAGGACACAGTGAGAGACGAATACACTGAAGTAATAGGCTGCAAATGGTGTGATGGAGAAAGCCCTCACACACTTGCAGACATGCTCATGGCAGAACACCCCCAATCAGGGTAGAAAGAGCCAACTTTATCCACATCACAGTGCAGGAGCCCAACCTGGGCTCTGCTTCCTGCTGCTTACAGGGCACTGCCTATCTCATCTCCAAGAGTCTGTCTGTCTCCAGGAGTGTCTCCTCACCGTTATATGAATTCTCCACAGGTACACTGAGAACAGCACTTACAGCAAGTGCTGAAGAAGTGGAACCTGCTCCTACTATGGACCACAAAGGTTACCATTATTTAGGGTGTTCCTATAGAAGGTAGATTTGATAGCTTGTATGTTGCTCCAGGGAAGTGTGGTAAGACCATTGGGAAATTAATGAGAAAGATCTTTGTCCTATGTTACAAAGAAATTTCTAACCATTACAGTTGCTAAAGTTGAGTAATTTCCTGATAAGGTAGAAATGACTTATGTGTTAGGTAGAAAGGTGGACCAGATTTCTTATACTTCTCCTGCCTTGCAGCAAATGAATACATGAGCACGAACATAGTGCGCGCACACACACACATGCATACACAAGGCAAATACTCTTTCTCTTCCAAAACAATTTTCCCTCTCCTTCCTGTCATTCCTCTCTTTGTCCTCTGCCCTTATGCACATTTCTTTTTAAGATATTTTTCAGCAAACCCCTGTATGAGGCAGGTTTTGCCAAATTTAAAGCTTGGAACTGGTATCACCCAGCCCTCCCTCCAAGAGGCAGCATTTGTAAACTCTCCTGCCTGTTTTGGGAAGAGTGTTCACAGTTTTATGAGCAATTCCATCCCAGACCTGAAGGTATTTTTTGTAGGATGATGACCCAATGTTTAGAAGACGACCTGGTTTTTACATGTAATGCCTTAATGGAAGACAAACAGTCTTAATTTCTCTATTTTTGTGCCATGTCCATCACAAGAGATGTGTATGGACTTCACTTTCTCCTAAAATTCTGTCTTGTGTGTGATTTTACTGGGAGAGTATCTGGGTGGGAAATATGTAAAGACTCTAAAATCTCTAACAGACTGGAAAACATGTAGAAATATATGCAAACGTTAGAAGCATTCTATCTCTTCCCTGGGTATGACTTGGTTGATGGACATCTCAAGTATCTTGGAAGATGATTCTAACACTAACCATGGTCAGTTAGTTGGAACTTCCAGAATTACAGACATGTTACCTCTAAAATGGATGTTATGTCTGCCCAATAACGGGGGCATTACGGACTATGAGAGGTCAAGTCTAGTTTTATTGGACCTAAAAACGTGTTTCAAACCTGATACAAGGGCTGGGGATATAGCTCAGTGGCACAGCACCTGCCTGACAAGTGTGAGGTTCTGAGTTCAATTCTTGACTCCAAAAAAACTCAAAAAACAATATAAAAAAAGTAAAGCTGATACAAGATCTCTGCATTGACGTAGAAATACATCATCTCATCTCCTCCATGGGAAATAAGACCTAATGCTTATTCTCTTCTCCCATCTTGATGAGAAATCCTGGGAGTATCTGGTGAGTATTTAGAGTATTTAGTGAGGTCTGAAGTTAAATAGGTGCATCACAGAAAGTGTTGGTAGATGGAGACCACTCTTATTTTTAGCTGGACCCAGGGATCCATCTGGAAAGGTTGCTTGCCTATGTTCTCTGTGCTGGAGACTCTTCAACTTATCCAAGTGCTCCAAGTAAATACAAAACACACTGCTCTGCATCATGGTACTAGTGAGATGGCTTAGTTAATGACAGAGGTTATTTTAAAAGATATTTTATCTTTCTACAAATGATTTGAGTTTATCTTTCTTTACAGCAGAGTAGTACTCCATCATGTGTAAATAGCACAGTTCCTCTATCTCTGAATCTGTTGATGGACAGATAGGCTGCTTGAGAGCATAATGTTAGGTGAAATAAAGCAGACACATAAGCTCAAACACCACATGGTTTATCTCATATGAGAAACTGAAATTATAAATAATGAGCAAAGTAAAAGATAATAGGAATTAAGGAAATGGATATTTACAGCAGGGAAGGAGAACAATAGATGGGGCAGAGGGAAGGAGGGTCAGGGCTGAGAAAAGGAACTAAGATGCCCTGCACCCATGGCCCAGCTCTACAAGGACTGTAGACATGTACTGCACAAACACAAACTTTTAAAATGGTATTTTATCTTACTAAATAAAACAATTTGGGATAATTAATACACTCTTAGAGAATGTAAACACTGGTGTAATAAAAGTGGGGAAGACAATAATAAAGCAAAGGAGAAAAAATGCTCCCTGTTAGATTGAGCATTCGGAAAATTTAAAAAAAACAACCCACAGGGTCCAGTAGGGAAGCGCCATGACCACGGCCCCAGGCAGAGCAGAAAGCTGCATGAGGGGAGCGGCCCCCAGCTCCACGGGCACAGCTGTATCCCAGCCAGGGTGGCAGAGCAGCCAGGAGCTCTGGTTTCCACATCCAGCTGGGGGCTTCATGGTCAGCACCTCCTGTGGCCTGCTGTGTGTTCCTTGGGGTGGCCCTACTGTCATCCTTCTCTGTGCTGCCAGGGCTTCTTTCAGAGGGAACACAGCAGACAGCAAGAACTGGAGCCCCCGAGGAGGGCCTTAACCCCAGGATCTTAAAATGCCTGGTAGTTTTTATAGGTAGAGAAGCCGCTAATGAACTGGGCACAGTGACACACACCCGTGGCCCCAGCATTCTGGGAGGCTAGGCAGGAGAATTCAAAGCTGGAGCCCAGCCTGGGCAATTTAGAGACACAGTGAGACCAAAAAAGAGAAAAGTTTAAAAGGGCTGGGGACATAATTTGGTGTGAAGACCCTAGGTTCAGTCGCCAGTACCTCATAAAAAAAGGTACCTATGTAATTTTAGGGATGGAAATGCTCTCCCAGAATAAAAGGAGCAGAATGACCATTTGAAGAAGGACAGAAGTATGACAAAAATGTAGATGCAAACATACAAGAGATACAACATTAGAGATATTTCAGATATGCTTTGCTTTATATTGTAGATAATTTTTATATTTATACATTTTATATATTAGAGGTAAACATTAGATGGCAAGAGGCTTTCTAGGCATAAAATAATTCAAGCAGTAACCGGCAGAGCTTGCATATCGTACAATGTTATGGCTGGGCATCATGGTCCACGCCTGAAATCCCAGCACTCTGGCACAGGGCAGTCAATTTAGGAATCTTCAAAACCCTGTGCCAAAATAAAATAAAAATAGGCTGGGATGTAGCTCAGTGTGAAGGTCCTGGGTTCAATCCCCAGTACTGCAAAATTAAAAAAAATAAAATAAAAGGTATATGCTACTTGCACATTACTGAATATATATGCTCATTTTTCTGCAGGAAGACTTAGTTACTTTTTTTGTTGCTGAGATAAAACACCTGACACTCAAGGTTGAAGGGGGAGAGTCTTATTTAGCTCACGGTCTGTAGAGGTTTCAGTCTATCATCAGCTGGCTCCAACGCAGAGTGGCACAGGCACTGCAGAGGAGAAACAGTCCATAGCAGGAAAAAAGGTAAATGCTACTTGCAACCAGGGCTGACCATAGCTCTTTCTGTCCCTTGTGTCTTATCCAGGATACTCAGGGCGAGCAGCACTCACACCTTAATCTTAGCACCCTTGATTCCAGCAGTGCCCACAAATCCATCACAGTGTCACACAGTCTGGATCCAGCTACCTCTGAAGAAGCCGCTTCTTGACCAAGTGAGGCTTTGGGGGGCATCGAGACACAGCCATGACAGAGACAACACAGCTCCCCTTAAGAGTTCAGAGGAGTCTGTCTGCACAGATGGCTCCATGGCCAGCCAGGACACGTGTGAGTTTCCTCTGCATGTGGAGGAAGGGAGTTGCCACCAGATGGGAAGGGTGCCAGATGTGACTGGCCAGCGGCCCTGCAGCTAGCTGGGCGGGGTCAGGGTGAAGTCAAATGATGACACCAAGGCCCAGTTCCACTGAAACAGAAGCTCTCCTCCAAAGATTCGCTTCCCATACTATTATTCTGAAACAGGACCTTTAACTTGTTTGTTTTTCTAGTAGTCTAGACGTGGAATGTCTCTTGTCCCTTTATGACAGTGCCTGTGAGGCACACTTCAGCCTCAAGGGTGCACATTGAGATGTAAACATGGGATTTTCTCCTAGCAAGTTCTTGACTCACAGCTCAAAACTACCTCTACTGCTGACTCTACCACTACTCTGGAAAACAATGAGTCTCTTAAAGAAATCATTCTCTGTTAACATTTTCAGTTTCAAAAAAAAGAGGTTGGGCATGGTGGTGTGTGTCTGTAATCCCAGCACTCTGGAGGCTGAGACAGGAGGATCCCTGCAAGTTTGAGGGTAGCCTGAGTTACACAGCAAGACCCTGTCTCAAAAAAAAGGGAGCAAATTCACACACACACACACACTCACACTTTTTCCTCCCTATTTGGAATTCTTGCACATTTTCATTTTCACAATGTAGAAATGGTCATTTTTCCCATTTTAGTGATAAAGGAACTGCAGCAGAGGCTTAGGAACTTGCTGGGGCTCATAAATGATATGGCAGGGTCTGGCCTCTAAGCAGCAGCTCTTGGCAAACTCCTTCCCTGTTCCCTTTCAAGAGTGAGTATTTGGATCCACACTCTGGGAAAGGACCCTGCTCCATTCCAACCAAAACAAATGCTACTCCCTGAGCTGCTGCTCCCAGCTCACCCCTCACTGTGTCCTGCGCAACCATGGCCAGTGGAGCTTTCTCCTGAGCCTGCGTGTAAGTGTTCTGGGCAGGCTGCTGTTGCAGACCTGTAGCACCCCTCCCACGTGCAGCAGGACCTGGCTCTGTGTGCCATGGAGAAAAAAAATATCAAGACTGCTGTCTGATGGACCCAGGCTCCAGTCCCACCAAGTGAGTAGGAAGAACAAAAGCTACACGCCAAGCCTTGCAGAAAGCTAAAGTTACCCAGGCACATCTACACAACAGCACCTTTGTTTCTCTTACAAAGTAAGGGGGGCAGTTGTAGCCCAAATCCTCAAAGTTTATTTTGAAGTGTTACTGGATTATGAAATTGTGAAGTTGAGGAACCTCCCATAAACTCAGTGACTTGCCCAAACTTGGAGGCAGAAATGCAATGGGACCTGGTGTCCACTCTGTCCAGCCAATGCAGCTGCCCCTGCTACCTGCTCACCTAAAGGCTGATCTCTCCATAGTGGGCCCCCAGACAACACTGTCCTCAAGTATGCCAGCTTGGGCACTCTGGGTGCTTTGAGCTAAAGGAGAATCACAGTCCCTCTGGTCTTCTCTCCCAGTATCTCATGTGTCCTTCCCTCCAGAATCACAGGAAGGGCTTTCTCTGAATTCCCCTCTCCAGCAAAGGCCAGGATCTAGAGAATTAACCTGCAGGAAGAACTGCAAGAGCTGGCATCACACAGAGTCTAGGTCAACCCTGTCCCAGGCTGCTCTATTCTTCAGGTCCATTCATCCTCACTCAAAATAACTACCTCTTCTTCCAAAATGCCTTAGACTAAACACCCGCTCCTCTAGAGAGAGGCCTTTCCTTGAGCTTCCTGCTCTGTGGGACTCCAGTGCCTTTGCATGTCAGGAACTGTCTTGGTTTCTTTTTTCTCATTGCTGAGACAAAATACCTGATGCTCAAAGTGAAAGGTTTATTTAGCTCACAGTTTGTGGAGCTTTCAGTCCATACTCGGCCGGCTCCAAGGCAGAGCAGCACATGGCACAGAGCAACTGTTCATGATGTTGGAAAGCAGCAAAAGCAAAAAGAGTAAAAAGGAGGAGCAGCAGAGAGCAACTCTCTTTCTCTCCCTTATATTGTATGCAAACTACTGCCTCAGGGCAGGTGTAGCACTCATACCCAAAACCCTAGCACTGATCATGAATTATTCATGAACTCTAGAAGCCTGCCCACGACTGCATGAGGCTTTAGGGGGACATCCAGACACAAACCATGACAGGGAGTTTGCACATCTTTTCTGTGTCCATTGCCTTTTGCTTTAGCAAGCTCAGTTACAGAGACGTTGGGGCCTGGAAAAGGAAACTCCCCTTCACTCTGTGACTTCCGCAGCAGAATGAACTAAGCAGCCCCACTTCCACTTAGCAGCCATTTCTGCGGACTGCATGTGATTTTAGGGAAGTGAGGAAGATGAAGGACTTTTCAAGTCCACTGACAAAGTTTAGAGCTGGAGTAATTGTGGAGGACCCAGGACAGCAGCCATTGTCAGGGCCACTGGAAGGAAGCTCAGGGAAACCCCCTCAGCATCCTGTGAGGCCAGGGACATGTGTGACTTCATTCAAGCGACTCAGACACACGCTCTCTGTATGGAGCATGTACACCACCTGACTGTTCTCAATCACAAACAACAATCCTGCCAGCTTCCACTCAGCATCAGCCTGTGTAGAACACGAAGTAGGTGGCCTAAAAACACATCCAGCGCACTACAGGAAAGGTCCCTTCCCCAAGTGAGCTGAGCGGGGCTGCTTTTTGGGGTGGGGAGTGCACAGGGGGCCAGCACAGCTCAGCTTGTGAACCTCAGGGGAACAGACTCCCTGCTGAGCCCAGCAGATGAGTGATGCCCTCGGGTGGGGCTGTGAGTCCCCGCCCATCCACCACGAGTTTTCTGTTCTGTTGTAGAACACATCACACATTGCCAAAAATCTAACATGTGATTTCATTCCAGGATGAAGGAGGAAAACTGAGATGGATGAGTCTATTAGGCACTTTCATCTGACAATAAAAATGAGTTAATGGCTAAAATGTGTTTTCAGAACATTTTAACACTACAAGTAATGGCACTCAAATGGAAAAATGCCTTGAATATTGTCATCGATCATTAATACAGTGGTGTCCTGCAGAAGGGATTGGCGTTCTCTGTCGGATACGAGCTGCTGGAGCCCAGTTGTAAAGCAATCCATGTGAATTTGCAACAACAACAACAACAACAACAACAGCAGCAGCAAAAACCCTATTATGGGATTGAACAATTAAGTGCAGGTTTAAAATAGCCCTTTCAATATTTGAGTTGGGTTTTCTAACATAGACTATTACTTCATCATAGCTAATTTTCTCATAAACAGCAACGTTAGAACAGCAAAAAGAGTCCAAGATGTGAGGGCAAAATTAAGATTTTTTTTTAAGGGAATGAGTCAGTGTCTCCTCAAGTTCAAATGCAAGTATGCAAGTGGTTGCCCTGAGGCTCCACCAGCTCCCGACTGCCCCAACGCTGTAAAATCCTCAGTGAATTTGTCATCTTTCACTTGTGAAACCAAGAACACGGTTACAGGAAACCACTGGGAGGGTCTGCTCCCTATCTACAAACCCAGCCCCCAAGGTCAGTTCCCTGAACTGCAGCGGGAAAGGGACACCATCTCTGACTTCAGTTTCGGCCCTGCGCTGGTAACTGCTCCCCCTGTCCACAGTGCAGGCCTGATGTCTGCTGTGGCCAAAACACCCCCACTTCCCACTCTTTCCAAGTCCTCCTCCTCCCCAGTGGAGCGAGAGGCAATATCAGCCATGACAATGCACAAACCAGAGACCTAGGCGTCCCCTGCCTCTCCACCTACTCCTGCTCTTGGATGACTCTCTCGGACCTCTGCACAGCCGGCGCTTGCTCGCCCTGGATCCTTTTCCCTGATGCGAAGTTCCTCAGCATCTCCAGTTAGTAGCCCACCTGCTGTGCCCCCACTCCCACATGGATATTTCACCAGCCTATGACCCAGTGACAGGATGGTCATGTGTAACACGAGTAGTGGTGAATTACAGCTTTTCCATTTCTGTTATACTAGCTATAATCAGGAAGAAAAATCCCAGAGGCGTCTCCTTCTCCCTGCTGGTTTTCACGATCAGCAGCTGCATTACACATCTGTTCCTGGAGTTTCTCAACCTCCATAGCATGAAATATGACTGATCTGGTCAAGGTCCAGGAGGCAAGTACTAAGGAAAGAGTCCTTCTGAGAAGTAACACTCCCCACGCTTGTCAGAGACAACCACAAAGTGGCTCTGAGCAGGATCTAAATTAACTAATTGACTTTCCATGTTTACTTGAAAGTCTGTTCAAGGCCTAGGCCCCTTGTCTGGAGATGGGCAGTGGACCCATAGTAAGTGAACCTCTGTGAGTCACTGGTCCCAGCTAAGGCCTGTAATGGCAGGTGAAGCCATGATGCCTCAGAGGACAGGACAAGGCCACAGCTAAGGACACCCGACTCCAACCTCAATTAACTAGATAAAGACTATAGCGGTAGACATCTCACTCCTGGGTGGAGACCTTCCTGGAGAAAACACAGTTCTAAATTAACATAACTATTACTTGGAGAAGTCCTTGAAGGGACTCCCAAGGTCCTGCCCAGATTCCTCTGTTTTCTTCGGGAGGTATTCCCTTCCTTTGTTTGATAACTAAATAAATATGGGCCACCCAGAGAAGTTCTTTGTCTTAGTCCCCAAAGAATCTCGGATTCTGTTAGAGGGTTTTGAACCTCCTGTCATCCTAAAATCATACC